CTCACCTGCTGGGACTTCACTTGCAGGAGCTCACCTGCTGGGACCTCACTTACTGGGACGTCACCTGCTGGGAAGCTCACCTGCCTGGACCTCACTGGCGGGAGCTCACCTTTCAGGAGGAACCTAAGCTACTGGAGATCTCACCTGCCAGGGCTTCACCCGCCAGGAAGAACCTCAGTTCCTGCGGACCTCACCTGCTGGGACTTCACCTACCGGGGCCTCACCTGCCGGGGCCTCACCTGCCGGGACCTCACCTGCCGAGACCTCACCTGCCGGGGCCTCACCTGCCGGGACCTCATCTACCGGGACCTCACCTACCGGGACCTCACATGCCGGGCTTCACCTGCCGGGCTTCACCTGCCGGGGCCTCACCTCCCGGGGCCTCACCTGCCGGGACCTCACCTGCCGGGGCCTCACCTGCCGGGGCCTCACCTGTGGGGACCTCACCTGCCGCGACCTCACCTGCTGGGGACCGCACCCACCCAGGCACTCGCCCTCCGGGAACCAGCTCCCTGGGAAGGGGGAGTGGTGCTCCCAGCAGCGACGGTTCTAGTTGGTGTTCCCGTGATTGTCACTGCTGTGCTCACTGCCTGCGTGATCTGAGGTCGCAACATCGTCACCCCTCTCCAGCTGGGGATGCTGTGAGGAACAGTGCTGTGCCTCCTTTTTCTAGAGCGTGCTCCCACCCAGGGCCAGTCTGCCCCCAGGGGACGTGGGCCATGTCTGTAGTTTGGTTGTCACAGCAGGAGGCAGGGTGTTACAGGCACTTAGTGGGTGGAGGCCAGGGATGCTGCTCAACACCCTACAGCGCCCAGGACGGCCCCACCCCAGAGGAGGATCCGGCCCCAAAGGCTTGGAGGTGGAAGAACCGGAGTGAGACCGTCTATAGCCCTCAGTGTCAGGGGCTGGCAGGTGTTCAAAGCCCCACGGGGGCCTCTCCTCCAGCAGGTACCCGGGGGTGGTCTGGCAGGCTGCACATTCTGTCCAGAGCCTGGGGCAAAGGTGGCTGGATGTGGCTGACTGGGGGTTGGGGGCAGGATAGAGGAGGACAGGTATCCCCCTGCCAAGAGGGCGTGCGGGCCTGTGACCCTATGTGTGATGGGGGTTTGTGTGTTAGTGAGTGTATGCATGGCTGTGAGGGGCTGCTGTAACTGTGTGTGTGCATGAGAGTGTAGGGTTGTGTGTGGGGCTCTGTAGCCTGAAAAGTGTGTGATCCTGTGTGTGTGTCAGCAAGAGTTTTTGTATGGCTGTGTGGATCTTCTAGGGCTGTGTGTATGTGTGTGAGGGATGGTCAGCATGAGGGTGTGCGGGGCTGTGGGAGGCTGCTGTGATACTAAGTGTGTGATGGGGTGTGGGGCTTCTCTAAGTGTATTCTGTGTGTGTGTCAGCTAGAAGCGAGTAGGGTGGTGGGGAACCTGGGTATGACATTGTGTGTGACTGATACTGTTATTGTGAATGTTTAACTGTGTGACCGTGGGTGTGACTGTGTGTGCGCTGTGACTACACACGGCTCCCAGTGTGTCTCCGTGTATGTCTGCATGTCGTTGTCCCACCCAGTGTGAGGTCGCACGAGCATCTCTCCGAGTGTGCAGCAGTGAGGCTGCCGGCTCTGTGTGCGCGGCTGTGACGTAGTTGTGTGACTGTGCGTGACTTTCTGAATGGAGGTGTGTTGTTAGGGTGGGTGCAGTTGTGACGCTCAGTGTACGTCTGGGTCTGAGGGTGAGGCTGTGTGTGTGTGGCTGATGTGGGACCCTGTGTGAGGGCACCACTCTGAGCGTGTGACCTGTGTGAGTGGTGAGTGTGTAAGCTTGTGGGCTGTGGTCTGTGTGTGATCCCATTGTCTCTTGGGTTCATGTGGGTGTGGTAGTCTCTGAGCACCGTGTGTGTGTGTGTGTGTGTGTGTGTGTGTGTGTGTGTGTGTGTCTAAGTGTGTGGTGTGCGTTGCTGAGACCCCCACCCCCACCCCAGGGTCTGCGGGGGCAGTTCTGTTCACGTTGCAAATGTCTGATGGCTGGGCCCGCACCCTGTGGTTGGGATTTGGATCTGGGTGGGAGACAACAGGGAGGCCGAGGTCCTAGGAGGCCCGGGCAGCGTGCACACACTCACAGACACAGAGGCAGCTGAAGCTTCAGGGGACCCCAGACTCAGGTGGACACCAGCTTCCCCGCTGTGTGTCCTGGACTCAGCAACTTGAGTCTGGAGGCCTCCCCAGCCACCTAGAGATCCATCCTGATGGGGAAACTGAGGCTCTGAGCGGGCATCACCTTGCTCACACAGCATTTGGAGACTCTGGCCTCTCTGCAGGGACAGGACCAAAGAGTGGAGGAATTCACCACCCCAAACCTCACAGTCAAAAGACCGTGGGGGCGGACACGGACCTCAGCCAGCCTTGCCCGGGAACTGCCTTCCAAGCAGACCACCCACGTGCTAAGCCATGCCGCCAAACCGTGCATTTCGAACTCCCTGGAAGTCCTGCTTGTCAGCTGCCCTTGACTGTTTCCAGCTGCAGCCAGAGTCCTGGGGGGCAGGAAGCCTGGCTGGGTGATCCTCCCTGGGGTCAGTTTCTGATCTGTACCCTTCAGTTTTGGAATGAGGACAAGTCTGGGAGGGTGGTGCTGGGCTCAGATGAGTGGGAAGAAGAGGGGGCCTGGTTGGCAGGGTGGACAGAACCACGGAGAAGGGGAAGGGACTATACCTCAGGGAACCGGGAGCTGGGTGTGCGCCCTCCAAAGACCCCAGTCTGGGGAAATGAGCAGGAAGAGAATTGCACCCCCCTGAGGCCTCCAGGCCCCCCTCTCCACCGTCTTACAGGACCCTTCCCCCTCAGACCGTGGGACCCACCAGAACCCAACATCCCGCCAAGCATCAAGGTGACACCATCAGCAAATCTAAACGTGGCGTCCCATTTTTTCCATTCTCTGCAGGGGCTCGTCATAAATCCCCCCTCGGGGCCCGGCCAGGGCTTTTATAGGTCCAGGACCCAGGTCTCTGGGGACCCAGCTCTGCCCCAGCAGGCGCCGTCTTCAGCCGACTGTGCTGGCGCCTGCCCCAGAGCTCTACCCGCCAGGTGGTGGGCTGCCCGCTGGTATTTTTAGCTGGCGAAAGGAGATAGTGGCTCCGAGTTCACCCTGGTGGGGCCAGACTGTGGAGGCCCATCGGGCAAGGCAAGCCTGGGTCCACCTAGACCTCAGTCTCTTCACCAGCAGAATGGCTTCACCTCCCTGTACCAACTCCAATCCTCCCCTCTCCTCCTCAGAAGCCCACACTGTGAGGAGGGGCAGAGGAACTATCAGGGAGGTGGGAAGGAAGCTCTCTGCCAACACTGCCCCACTTTTCTTTTGTCCCCCTTTGTATCTTTCCTTCTCCTCCAAAGCAGATGGGATCCTCCCATAATCCCCTGCAGATGACACCCTATCACCCCTCCCTTTCCTCAGTGGAGACAACGCCTTGTTCACCGCCCTCACCCTCTCCTTTGGAGATGGGCACCCCGGGTGAGCGCAGAATCACAACCCTCGCTCCATTTTCGCACGCTTTATCTCGATGCAGTTATCGCGAGGTCAGTGCCGTGGCCTCGACAGCATGTTCTGCGCATGGTCAATCTGGCGCGGGGCCCGTCTCACCGGGCCCGTTGAGGTAGTCACACGCAGGCGCACTCGCGCGCCGACAGCTCGTGCACCGTGTGGTAGCGGCTGTGCGCGTCCAAGAAGGACACTTCGTCCTCGTAGGCCGTCGGGCGGCAGCAGGGCTGCGCGCGCACCCGCTCCCGCCGCACGCGCCGTTGCTGGCGGAGGCGCCGCAGCCCCAGGTCGTAGAAGCGCGCGGCCGCCTCGCAAGCGCCTGCGCAGTAGCGGAACAGCACCGTTTCGTCCGACGTGTATCCCAGGCCCAGCTCGCTCACGCGAACCTCGAGCTCGCGCAGCCCACACGGCCGCGTGCTCGAGCGCGCACGCGCGCGTCGCCGCCGAGGCCCGGTCCGACGGCGGGGACCTGGAAGCCGCCCCGCCCAGGGCGTCAGGTCGCGCAGCTCCACTGCGTCCGGGGCGCCCTGCAGCAGTGCTCGGTCTGCGAGAGTGGAGAGTAAGAGAAGAGGTACGGGGATCAGCTGGGGGTCTCCGACCCTCGCTGTCTCCCCTGCAGAAAAATACCTTTGCTGGGGCGCCTAAGGCGCTGGTACTCCCTCTCTGACCCGCTTCTCCCTTGTCCCTACATCCACTTTCTGCGCGGCCCTGGGGTGGGTCAGTGTTGGGGGTCAGATCCAGACCTCTGGCTAAAACCAGCCTCCTCTGCTGGGCTGATCATGCTCTCTCTGGGCGGTGTTGAGGGGTGCATATCAGCCTTCCACGCTGGGTCCCCATGGCTACTAACACTCCACTCGACTGTTCGCCCACGCTGGGCCACCGGAGCTATTTTCCATCCTGCCCTCCTCCCTACTTTGAGCTGGGCTGATGTGGGTCTTTTTAACTCATTCCGTCTGGGGCCCCCTGCTTCCTTCCCCGCCCCACCCCCGACACTCTCTGGACCCCACCTGTGTGCTAGGCTGCCCTGGGGTCGTCGCCCCCTTTTCGCTCAGCTGTACCCCCTCCTTTGCAGAGATGAAAGGGGGGCTCAGCAGGTGGTGGTAGTGACTCAAACCCCTGCCCCCACCTCTGTGCTGGGCTGCCCCCGGGCACTGGCACACCATCTCCAGGCAGTGCTGGGGGGCTGTTTCCCACACCCCCACCCCTCAACCTCTAGTGAACTGCCATAAGTTGCTGTCTTTCTCTGAGGCTCCCCACCCAAAATCCCCACAGCCCCTGGGGTGTTCATTCACCCCGCTGCAGCGGGCCTCAGTTTCCCCATCCAAAAGACCAAATCGGGGTGTTTGGGCCTCTCAGAATGCACAGAGCAACAACAGGTACTGAGGCAGGGGTCCCTGGCCGCGTGGGGTGGCAACAGCTCCTGTCAGGGCTACCCTGTGTTGTTGTTAGGTGCTGCTGAGTTGATTCCGACTCCTGGCGATCCCGTGTGACAGAGCAGAACTGCCCCCATAGGGTTTCCTAGGCTGTAATCTTTACAGAAGCAGATTGCCAGGTCTTTGTCCTCCAGAGCCGCTGCGTGGGTTCGAACCTCCAACCTTTTGGTTTGCAGCTGAATGCTTAACAGTTGTGCCACCAGGACCATGAATTATAAGTGCGGAAACAGATGGTTCAAGAGAACAAAGAATTGCCCAAGGCCACGCCACGAGCAGGTGGCTGAGCAAAAGGGCCCTGACCGCCCTCTTCCTGCTCCATCCAGAACCCAAGTTTGGCCCAAGGCCAGCCCCCCCTCTCCCACAGTCGCTAGTACCCTGAGTCTCTGGTTCCCAGGGCTGTGCAGCCTAAATTTATTTCCCAAGCAGCTGGCCCTGCTCCAATGCGCCACAGCCCCAGGAGAGTACAGGCAGTGGAATGACAGGCAGTGCTGATGGTGGACTTGCTGTCAGGGACTCCCAGCCACCAGGTAGGTGGCAGTCATGCCTCTGGTCAGGAGAGGAAGTCCTCACTGCAGCCCAGCCTGGCCCCAAGGCTGCTTCACCTGGTCGTCAAAGGTGGGAGCTTTCTGGGAGGCCCCGGGGGAGGGGCTGTCTGCTGCCCTGGGGGTGGGTGTTCCCACAGCAGAGCTGAGAAGCTACAGAGACCCAGGTTCTGAGCCTGGCTCTGCTCTGTGCAACTTCAGACAGGGGCTGGCCCTGCTTGGTGCCTCAGTTTCCCTGCCTGCTCAGTGAAGCTTGCACAGTTCCTGCAGTGGCTGGCGCTGAGAGGGTGGGAAGTGGGGGGCCACTGGGCAGTGTGTTCCCTGTTCTTTGAGCCCAGGGACAGGACTGGGGTGGAAGTCCATCCTGGGGGTAGCTGCCAGCCTAGCTCATTTCTGGTGCTCCCACCCCCGAGGTGTGTGTCTGGCGAGTTACTGGTGGGGTTGCCAGAGAGAATACAGATGCCCAGCTCCACGTGAGCTTCAGATAAACAATGAATACTTTTTTTAGTACAGTATATCTGTCCTTCCCTCTCCCTCCCCCCAAGAAGGGCTGACTGTATGCACAGGGTCTGAAATATAAAGGGATGAGATGCCCACCAGGCCTGAAATGCCACCATCACCATCAGCTTTGGGGATCAGGGGCCACTCCTCCCCTGCTGGGCCCAAGGACAGGATACAAGGCAGGCAGGCACCTGCCCATGGGCTGAGACCCTCTCCGGCTCCTGAAATTCCATCATTCTGTGCTTTGGCCCCGAGTCCTGGAACGCTGGCTTTTGGGGGCCCCTCCCAAGTCTCTGGGCCCCAGTGTCCTGGGAAGAACTTCACTGCCTGCAGAGGGGAGCGGGGGCGGAAGTGAAACCCGCGCCGGGGGCCACCCTTGTCCATTGTGAGGACAAGAAAGAGCGATTGTGTGGGCCGGCGGGGCGGATGTCCACGTGCACACAAGCTGCACGCGGCCCACACCTGAAGCCGCCCTGCACGCGTTCACGCCCCAGCCGTGCATGAGGGCGCACGCGTGGACACGGGGCAGGAGGCAGCGGAGAGTGGGGTGCTGGGTAGGGCCCCTGCCTGGGCCACGCCCCTCGGGTGGGCGTTCCCATCTGTGTCCTTACCCCAGTCTCTTTCTCGTCTCTGTCTCGCTCTGCCTCTACGTCTCTCTCTCTCTTTCTCTGAGTCTGTCTTCCTGTCTCTAGATCTCTCCCTGTCTCCACACCCCTTGGTCCCTGTCCACCCTGGTGGGTCACTAGGTCCAGCCTTCCCCTCCCTTCCCCCGCTGTGCTGCAGGGGCCACCCAGACCGACTGCCCGGAGCTAATCTCCATCTGGCCCCCTTGCCCCTCAAGTTCAGAGCCTAATTCCTTGTGACAGCTGAGCCAAGGGACCCCGGTTCCCAGCAGCCACCCCCACTCCCTGCCAGGCGGTTGGGGGGATTTGCTCTCTCCCATCCATCTAAAAATAGCCTCGATGACCCCACTCCACTGCCTAAAGTTCCACCACTGATCTTCTGTGCCCTCCAGTCGATGCTGACTCATAGCAACGCTATAGGATAGAATAGAACGGGAGGGGGAGGGGCTTACACTGGGCTAGGCGGGCGATCCGGGCGTCCAGGGTGCGAGGCGGCCGGCGAAGCGGGGTCAGAGCAGGTCCCAGGCGGTGGTTGAGGAACAGGCCATCTCGACACATCCAGACGGACAGCACGGAGCTGCAGAGTACCGAAGCCAAGGCTGCCGCCTTCCAGCGCTGCATCCTCGGCCTGCGGGCACGCGGGGGGGGGGCGGCAGCGGCGGTCAGCTACATGCCCCCTTGTCCATCTGTCCATCTACAAACGGGCATAGGGTTCTGGGCACTGGGAACAGAGCAGGACCCTTGACCCTGAACAACTTCTGCCTAATGATCTATAATAATGTAGAAATGATTCACCAAGCAACCACTGAACACGGTTGTGGAGAATGCAGCAGAGGACGTGTGGGTGCTGCGAGGGGGGTGACAGGGCAGCAGCTCCCCCATCTAGGGTCGCCGAATGCTTCCCTAAGGAGCTGACCATGGAGCCGAGACTTGAACAAAAGGTAGGAATTGGCCAGGCCGAGGAGAATGGCATCTCGGGAAGGGGAACAGCCAGTGCAAAGGCCCTGAGGCTGGAAGGAGCCTGGCATATCCCAGGAACAGCGAGGAGGTCGCTGCGAAAGGAGGTGAGGCCATTACCAGCAGGGGGCACTGTGGGACAAGGGTGCAGAGGGCTGGTGCTGGAGTTTCGTCTGAGAGGCAGGAATCTGACGCCTACAGATTGATGTCCTTAAGCGACTTCCTGCCCCTCTCTGAGCCTCAGTTTCCCCTCCAGATGTGTAAATTAATGCCCAGAAGTGGGCAGCGATGGACTAAAGCTGCCCCTGACATCATGTCCCACCTCCAGGCCTTTCCACCTGGAAGCCTCTCCTTGCCCCTCCCTCCTTCCTCCCCTTCCCTTTCAGTCTCAGCTTGGGCGGCGCCTCCTCAAAGAAGCCTTCCCAGATTCCCCAGACTGGCACAGAGGGGGGCCCCCACAATGCCCTGAGGTTCCCCCATCTGGGCCCCGACTTCCCCCTGCTGTGCCTGCCTGGCCGCGTCGCGCTCACTGCACACAGTAGTTGTCTAATAACCTATGCGCCCCCCAGCCCCCCACCCCCCACTCCAGCCCCGCCCCGCCCGAGCTGCGTTTACATTCCCCCGCCCGGCGGCCGCGGGGTGCCTGGCTGCCCGCCATGTAAACATTTACTCGGCACGCTGAAAGTCGGGCTGAACGCCGGCTCCCGCCGGTCAGCGCCCGGGCCAGCCGCGCCAGCCTCCGCGCCAAGAGCACCGCCCGCGGGGTTAGCGGACGCCCCCACGGGCGCAAGGGCGGCCGGGGCAGTGTTTGCATGTTATTTGCATGGCCCAGGCTGGAACCACTCCCAGCGCCGCCTCTCCCTCCCCCCACCCCATGGATACTCGGGCACAGCAGCCACATACCCAAACAGAAATGTGTGACATTTATTAAGCGCCTGCTGGGTACCAGGCCCGTTGTTGCTGAGCTCCCGAAGGAGGCACTTGTTATTGCTGTTGTCAAGTTGCCATTTGGTGGAGACTCACGGTGACCCCATGCGTGCAGAGTGGAACTGCTCCATAGTATTTTCAAGGCTGTGACCTTTCAGAAGCAGATCACCAGGCCTTTCTTCCTAGGCGCCTCTGGGTGTGTTGGAACCACCAACCTTTCGGCCTGTAGTCAACTGCTTAACCATTATCACCACCCAGGGATTCCTAGGGAGGCTCTAGTATCCTCTTTTTACAGCTGGGGAAATTGAAGCACAGAGAGGGTAAAGCCTTGTTCAAGGGCACCCAGCTACAAGAGGACCAGAGATTTGAACCCAGGTGCTTTGACCTTTCACACTCTAAGCGAGCCAGCTCCTTGCTTGGGAGCAAATGCTGTGGAGTAGCCCTCAGCGCTTACTCAGTCCTTGATACTGCCGTTTGGATTACTGTGGGTATGTCTGTAGGAATTGAGCTCCCAGATATGGGGGGAGGCTGCAAACAAACCCTGAGCCAGCCTTGGAGGGTCTGATAAAAGTCAACCTAGAGGGAAGGTTGACGCAAGCCCCCCACCCCCACCGGAGCCAGCTCAGCTGGTTCACTAGCACACAGTAGGTGCTCAACAGATATTTCTCGGATGGATGAATGGATGAATGAAAACCCTTTGTCGTCAAGTTGACTCATAAAGACCCTATAGGACAGAGTAGAACTGGCCCATAGGTTTCCAAGGCTGTGGAGGGTCCGCAGAAAAGAGGAACACCGTCAACAAGATAGACTGACACAGGGCTGCAACAATGGGCTCTAGTAACGATGGTGAGGATGGCGCAGGATTGGGCAGTGTTTCCTTCTTTTGTACACGGGGTCGCTATGAGTCAGAACCAACTCGATGGCACCTAACAACAACACAACAATCTCTACAGAGGAGCCCTGGTGGCACAATGGTTAAGTGTGCTCGGCTGCTAACTGGAAAGTCGGTGGTTTGAACCCACCAGCCGCTCGGTCCTCAGGAGAAAAATGTGGCAATCTGCTTCCGCGTAGATTACAGCCTTGTAAACCCTATGGGGCAGTTCTACTCTGTCCTATAGGGTCACTATGGAGTCAGAAACGACTTGATGGCAATGGGTTTGGTTTTTGACTGGTAATCTTTACAGAAGCAGAGTGCCACATTTTTCTTCCGCGGAGCAGCCGGTGGGTTTGAACTACTGACCTTTTGGTTAGCAGCCGAGCACTTTAACTACTGCACCATCAGGGCTCCTTATGGATGGATGGACAGACACAAAGAAGCAAGGCATCCAGTGACTCAGATCCCATATTGGAAGGTCCAAGGTTTTAAGCGTGGCTATAAGATGGCACCAACCCCTCTCAAGACACCCACCCGTTTATTAAGCACCGACTGTATACTAAGCCCTGAGATTTCAACTGTCATCTCTTTTCTTCGTCCTCCCAATCAATGTACCCGTCCATTCATTCATCTGACATATACTGAGTGCCTACTGTGTGCCGGGCCCTGAGAGGACAGTGTGGGGATCAAGACAGACCAGGTACATCTGGTGGGGGAAGACAGGCGGTATACAAAGAAGCAGGAACAAAATGATTTCAGGTGAAGTGTCACGGAGTCAGATGATGATGGGAGCCCATGCAAAGGCCCTGAGGCAGCACTGGACCTGCTGCCTTGGAGGATGGCAAGGAGGCCCGTGTGGCTGGAGCGGAGTGAGCAAGGGGGAGAGAGGAGGAGGGGAGGGCAGGGAGGGGGTCGGCAGGTTGTGCAGGGCCTTGTGGGCCACGGGGAGAATATATTATCCTGAAGGTTATACAGCAAGCAGAGGCCAGCCCCGGGGTTTGAACCTGGGTCTGCCAGGTGCCAAAACACACCCCCTTTCCCTTAATGAGCACTTACTCTGTGCCAGGCCCTGTTCTATCTGCTTAATGTGTGCTGAGTCATTTCAACTTCACAAAACTCTTAAGAAGCAGGTCGTATCCTTATCCCATTTTACAGACGGGAGGCTGAGGCCCAGAGAGGTGAAGTGACTTGCCCAAGGTCACAGAGCTGGGATTTGAACCTGGGTAGCCTGACCACCCCCCAGGGAGGGGAGACAGGGCAGGGAAGCTGATACAGGTCCTCCCTGGTCCCCCAGTGCCCCAGCTGCCCTGACATCAACTCTTGAAGGAACATGCCTGTTTCCCCATTAGACTGGAACAGCCTCGGCCTCTGGTACTCCGATTCTACCAAGAGCTTGACTGGGGACAGGGAGGGTGGAGGAGGTGCCAGCCCCGGGATGGCCTGGCCAGAGGAGGCCCCAGTGGCCTTGGAGGCATAGACCCCCCAGAGCTCTGATGGGGGGCAGGATGGCAGGGCCCAGCTGAGCAGCTGATAAGCATCTGCTAACAATGGGGCCTTTCTGTGCAGGGGTCACCCAACTGGTTTGTTGTCTCTGGCACTAAGCCACCAGGAGGAGGTGTGGTGGAGGGCACGGGGGTGGGGGCAGCAGGTGTGTGCAATGTGTGTGCCTGTGTGTCAGGGAAGCTCCTGGAGCTGGGGGCCGGTTCACACAGCACACTCAAGGCTCACACTCACACACACACTCTCACTCAGCGTTCTCACACACACTCAACCTCCTCACACACACACACACGGGCACACGCACACCTATACACACACACACACAATAACACACACACACTCACGGGCATTTTCACACTCAAATCTCACACTCCACCGTGGCTTTTTCCTACCCACACACTCGGCCACTACCACACTCACACGTGCACACTATCGCACTCAGGTGTTTCACGCGTTTGCACATTTTTACACCCACACGCCCACACCTGAACTCTATCACGCTCACACTCAAACATTATCACATTCATGCACTTGGACATTTTCACACTCCGACTTGAACACTCAGACAGGCACACACTCGGCTGTTTTCACATCCACGATCATCCATTTATACGTTTTCACACTCCCAGTCAAGCACTATCACAGCCACACACTAGATACTTTCATCCACACAAACACTCCCACACTCCCACACTCGGCGTGTTCACTCTCACCCAAACATTCTTAGACATACGCACTTGGGCGTTTTCACACTCACACTTGGACACTATCACACGAGGATGTTTTCACATTCACAACCATATGCTTACACATGTTCGCCCTCACACTCGAACACACTCACACCGTTTTCACACTCAAACATTATCACATTCATCCACTCAGACATTTTCACACTCACACACTCGGATGTTTTCACAGTCACGCCCAGATATGTGAATCTCACCCACACTTGAACACTATCACATGCACTCGGTGTTTTCACACTTCCTCACACATTGTCACACTCATGCACTTGGACATTTGCACTCACACACTTGGACACCATCACATTCCCTTGGGCGTTTCTCCACTCACAAACAGACACACATTGTCTGTCACATGCTGACACAGAATATGGGCCCGCGTGGACACAAAAACACACACACGTCCCAATAGGAGGCACAGGGCCATGCAGGGGAGGAGCAAGAGGAGGTGAGGACAGGCAGACGCACAGGCGCACAGCAGCATTTATGCCCTGGCCTGGGGCCGACGCCTGCATCCCAGCCACACCCTCACACCCCCCAGCAGGGAGCACTCAGGCAGATAGGCCGTCAGGGCTCCTGGGCCCACGGCAGCGAAGATCTCAGGGGAACAGCAAGCAAAT